CACATTGAAACTATCATCATTATTCCCATATTGTGGAAATGCATGGGGAAATAAAACAGTTCAACAAACAGTCCTCAAATTTTGGACCATTTCCGTCGTATAAGGTTTAATATTCAACAGACGTAGAATAATTTGACGACAACAACAAAAAAAAAAAAATACAATCCCTTTTGGGATTTGTGCAAAAACTGAATTTAAAAAGTATTGAAACATTATTGTAATGTTGCTGGCACAATTTTTCTAATTGTGACTCTATTCTATTTAACATGTGAAGTAAGCATTCCATTTGTGTTCATGTTCAGGTACAGCCGCCTTTGTAACAAACTAAAATCTGTGTGTATAATTAAAGTTTATGAGACTGTAACTTCTGATCTCATCCAGAGAATTTATGGCAAAGAAACTCTTTTTGGAACTTACAACAACATCATGGCTTTGAATAGCAACTCTCTCCCCTCTCCAGTGTCTGACCTCCATTCCATACTCGCCTGGAGGTCCATTCTTTTTTTCTTCAATGGATTGTGTTTGTGTTTGTGTGTGTGTTTCCCAGACGGGCCGGATGAGCTGTACTCAGTCAGACCCAGTTTAGCCTAATGCTCCGAGCCTTTGCTCATTGTTTCCATTTGAACAAACGCGCATTTGTTTTTGTTTATGTTTTTTTGGGCTAATTTAGAAAAAAAAAAACATTTAAAAGTGTTCCACGGCTTCCTAAATTTAGACTTCAAAAAAAGAAATATCCCGTGAGAGGTCGTTTGCGCCTCTGTAGAAATTTGGGATTTAAATTGTTTCTGAGCATTATGAACAGCTGCGTGTACTGAGTGATTTCCAAGAAACTAAAGTCATCCTTGTGCTTCAAGACTGTTTGGGGGTCTGGCAGTGACGTGCACAGAATCCCATGTGAATGCTAATTTCCGGTGAGAGGCCCTTTCGGTCTCTCCCTCGGGGCAGAGTTGATCAGAGACTGTTTAAGGGTCTTCAGCGATTTTCGATCCGCTCTTCTCGGAACGTGGTATTTGAGGTGTAGCGGAGGTTGTCTCATCCTCAAGAGAGTTTAACGCTGGTCAAAACCGGCTGACGAGGAACTGGATAATAGGATGGTTAGGCACATCTTTTCACACATTGCGATTTTTCCCCCTGGGGCTTCAAGGGCTCTTCTCCATAGTGACCGCACGGCTGTCCCACTCTAGTGTGTTTGCATGCCTATCGTTTGCTTGCCTCCCCTCAACCCCCTTTTCAGCCGGATACCTGATTTAACGCACGTAGGCCATTGTCACTCCTCTCATTGTCACCCTGTTTTCACAAATAAACACAAAAAAATATGTACTTTCTGAGCCACGTTGGCTCAGGTTGAGAAACAAAATCACAGATCCCAGATCCGTATTTAGGAAAGAATGAAGTTAGCTAGAATAGCACGAGCACAAATAAACGGTGACACTTTAAAAAGGCTGCTCTCTGACATACCAACAATTACTTGGGTTTCCTTCTGATTTAATCGGGCCACTGAAAGTCAAAAGGATCCGACAACGATAGACCTGCAATTAGCCCTGGCACGAGCTAACCCTGCCGTTAGTGTTTCATCACACTTTTCCGGATTTTGCTGGCAGATGATTGTGACTGACGTGTTTGCTTTGGTGATACTCTATCATTTGGAAAAAAAACAAAAGACCGCCTCAGAGAGTCTGACGTGCATTTCCACAGTGAGCGCCTCGACTAAAGAGCCAATTAATGCCGAGGTACAACTTCTTTGACCTTAGTCCTCGACTGAGAAGAGAGACTCGCACTGCAAACTTTGGATGTATAAATGAAACCAGACCTCACTAACCTTTATCAGAGTAAAACACTAGCCTGACAGGGTGATACAAGGAGGAGGTGGAGGAGGAAGAGGAAGAGTGAGAAAGTGAGTTTCCTTGACAGGGCTATAAATCAGACGTCGTGTGGTGCCTTGTTGTCCTGGAAGTACAAAACCGCATGACCGATCATCTGTCTCCAAAAGAGTCATGAAACAAATGAATTCGTGTGTCTGTGCGCACAGGAACTGAGTACCACTGACCTTTAACCACGTTCGGTAAGCCTTTGCAACAAACACACACACACACACAAGGCAAATAATTATTCTCAACAACATCTGCTAAGAAATATTACTTCATTCTTCATCATCATGGACAACACGGACAGCGTGGAAGTGTTTCACATAATCTATGGTCAGATATGGGTAGTTAAACGCGCATGCATTTAAACCCCTAAATGTATCCCAATGTCGACACTTCACTGACTGGAGCGCAGACAGTGAATCGTTTAAGTTTACTGTTTTGTCTGTGATTGTGATGAATCAGTACAATGATTCAAATCATTAACCAAGTTGAACCACACAAATCCAAGTATTGATTCAGCTGAAGTGGACTGATTTACCACAGTCTTAGTCTGGCCACGTAGGTAATCTACTTATTGGATTCCTAAAGTACCTAAAGACTATGAGTCCCCACACTCTTGTAAGAGGAGGTCATGGGTCTTGTAGGAAAGTCTGTCTTAACATTCGTGTCTTTGGACCTTAATCCTGAACGGAAACGACATTTGTATTTGTATTTTATTGGTTGAAGTTTAACTAGTGGTGATGGGTACATTAATAAATGTATCGTATTATCTGGACTACAAGTCGGCCCGGAGTATAAGTAACACCAGCCAAATGATGAAAAAAGTGCGACTTACGGGAGCCTAGGGTGCCCTTTTAGCGGAACAACAACAACAAACGTGAAATTCTATATATTTTATTATATAAGTCACACCGGAGTATAAGTTGCAAACCTAGCCAAAGGATGAAAAAAAGTGCGACTTTCTATAATAGTTTCTTCTTCATCATACATTTTTTTTGGCTGTGACTTAGAATAAGGTTATAAGAGAATATAAAAATATGATTAATTTTAATTAACTGTGAATGCAGGATTATGACATAAATACATTACTACCACTACTACTACTCTGAGGTAGGGTTCCCAACCACTGGGCTGGGGACCAGTACCGGGCCACGAATCATTAGGTGTAGGGCTACACAGAAGGATAAAAAGTGTATGTAAATATAAGCAAGCCTGCATGATATTGTTTTGCTTGTTATGTAATAATAAGTGTATAATAAAAACTAATAAGTTCTACTAATACTAATAAATAGATTTATAATTGGGGTGTCAAATTAACGCATTAATTGCAAATAATTAATTACAGACACGAGTTGCATTTTTTATAAAAATCCGTTTTTATGTTTTATGTGTTAGGCTTCTTGTGCTTGAGTTGTTGGAATGGAAAACAATGGTCAGTCTGATTATAGCTGTCATTGTGTTTGGGCGTGTTCAGCATAATCTGATAGGCTCCCATTGAGTTTGGGGAGGACACAGTGAAGAGATGGTGGGGAAGGGAAAGGGAGGAGCGCGTGAGAGTTGTCCATCTAATGAACGAGGAAATTTACAACTTCCCGATGGCACCATCGATAAAGGTAGAGTGATATGCCTTTATTGTAAGAACAAATTCCTATCTATCTATCTATCTATCTAAAAATTCCTATCTATCTATCAATCTACCCACCTACCTACCTATCTATCAATCTACCTACCTACCTATCTATCTATTTACCTCCCTACCTACCTATCTATCTACCTACCTACCTACCTACCTATCTACCTACCTATCTACCTATCTACCTGTCTATCTACCTATCTACCTGTCTATCTGCCTATCTACCTATCTATCTATCTATCTACCTACCTACCTATCTGTCTACCTGTCTATCTATCTATCTATCTATCTATCTACCTGTCTATCTACCTATCTACCTGTCTATCTGCCTATCTACCTATCTATCTATCTATCTATCTATCTATCTAACTATCTATCTATCTATCTATCTATCACCCTACCTACCTATCTGTCTACCTGTCTATCTATCTATCTACCTGTCTATCTACCTATCTACCTATCTATCTAGCACTGAGCCGCAGACCTTGTGATCCAAACCTGTGTCACACCTCTGCCCCCTAATATGTTGGGTTAAAACGTTTCGATTTATATTACATTTGTATTTGATGTATTCTGCTTCTCTACCTACATTTGTATTTGATGTATTCTGCTTCAACATAAAATAAAATACATTATCAGAATCATCTATATTTCATATACAACATCTTTACCTTTCTACCTGGCTCTTTCCACCACAGAGGACCTGATGTTTGTAATATAACAGCACAAAGTCCGTGCGCTCAGAAAGCTTGTTAGTAGGTGACAACAGGGTCAGTTAGAGTTCACTGAGCTCCACTGCACCTGAGCAACAGGGATTATTGATCTGGCAGCTCGTCCAATCATTCAGAGCATTTATCGTCAGGAAAGCTAGGCATATTTTTAGCATACTTGGAACGGACAGATACTGTATGTAGTGGACAGAATATTACTCAGAAAGCATCACCTGTGCTCACCCCTCAGTGGTAATAGTACTAAGACAGAGAAAACAAATGGAGACGCCTTACGTTCCGGTATAGGTTTTAGTACTGGCTACATCGTTCATGTCACTATGTTTATACGTAGGTCTTGAACTTATTTCCAGAAGAAGGGCTAAGCCTGGTTTTTTTTTGTCAGCATTTGGCTCCATGGATGCAGGGGACAACACAAAAAGCATGGCACAAACAAAGGACCATAAAGTACATGGAGGCAGACAATATAAACAAACACAGGCATAAATCCTGGTGGTGTGAATGCTGCGGCCTCACTGTTTCCATTACTGCTGCGTCACAGCATTTTCATATCTGCAGTGACATGATAACAAACCAAATGATGTGTCTGCAAACAGTGCGGAGTCACCCAAAGGTTCAGAGTTGGAGAGAGGCGGAGAGGCAGTTCGAAAGGAATTCACTTACAATAAACAAATTAGCATGGAGGGTGGGGTCGGAAATTAAACCATCCAGCAAAGACGCAAGAGAGTTGAGCGAGTATTTGAAATAGAGGAATCTGGCCTCTGATCTTACCGGATAGCCTTCTGTTTTCTTCTGGCACCACTTCAATAGAGCATTTCGCTTAGATCCTCCGTACTCCCGCGCCAGAGCAGCCAAGGGGTCCTTTCTTTCCACACTGATGCCAAGAAAAACAAAGCACAGTCATTGCAGGGTGTAGCGGAATAAAGTTTAGGTTGCTTCACGTAGCGCAGTGGTTCTCAATTATTTTCATGTCAACACTATTGAGAACCTGATAACAACAACAGTGTTAACAATAACAGTGTTCCCTCTTGCGGTTCTCCATTCTTCGTATAGGGCAAATATATATGTAAATAACAACAATAATAACAACGTGTAGCGTGTGATTTCACTGTATATTTGCATGCATCTTTGCAAGTTACAGCCTGAGAAATGTGCAGTTGACTGAATACAAACGAGTAAGAAAAATCACTTCTTTTTTTTTTTACTATTCATTTTTTTTCTTCAATATTTGTTATTTCCTCCAATAGCAATACTCTTCTTCAATTTTTGTTATTTCCTCCAATAGCAATACTCTAAATCCAGTCTGTCCCAGAAAGTCCCTGTGTTTAAATGTGTTCAAAGTAACCGGTAGTAACCGTAGTAAAGATGAATACCAAACCGAAAGCAGGTCACCAGATTAGTTTACCTTCTGCAAAATTATTTTAACAACTTCCTGAGTATCGTGCTGCAGGAATGTAGGTTCAAATAACAGTGGAGGCTTGGATAAAATGACTTTACTATCTGCAAAATAACAAGCTCGGATGAAGCCAAATATTTTTCCCCAGTCTTATATCTGTTGTGCTTTGATTCTTTACTCCTCCGTTTCAGTAGCATTAGGACCAGATGCATCAACACGTATCAATCACAAATTTGTGATTAGCTGCTCATCAGCTGCCTAATAGAGGAGGTCTGGAGCACTATATTGCAAATATAATTAAACAGCATTAAACATCCAACCACACAAAGACAAACAGCACGGTGGCCTAAGGCTGGAAGGACCGATTTTTTTTGGGATTTCATTCCCATAACAGTGAAGCTCAACAATATCAACAGTATGTTTGCAGAAGGTGAGGATGCTCTACTGTGTCATGGACATGCATCTGACTGCGCAAACACACAATGCCTATCCAGTGACTGTCACGTACGAGTGCAGGAAGATATAGGTCAGCCATGTTAACCGCTAAAAACTGCTTGAAGATAAGTACAAATAAATTCGAGTTTGATATGTTAGTTCAATACAACATATATTCTTTACACAAAAATCCCACCTGAGCTTGCTGTTGCCCCGGGAGTAGCTGAGAGCTGAAGGGTGGTTTCTAAAGGAGATGGGAGACTTTATAACCGACTCCAGCGAGGGACTCTTCCTCATAAAGCCATTGGGTTTTATATCATCCCCGCAGCCCGACAATTTATCTTCAGGAATTCAAGAATGTGTAAAAAGAGGAGCAAGGAAAGAGGAAGAAAAGGAAAAATATTAGAGCAGGGTGTTCTAAACTCGAGTCAAGACAAACGTTGGCGGCAAATTATTATTGACATTTAAAAATGAGTGTCTCTAAACATTATTTACGTACCATGCGGGTGAGAGAATTCTCCCTGATTGATCTTTTTTTCCAAAGTCTTGGATAAAGGTCTGATGTATGAGTGTCTCTAGAAGTGCAAAAGAAATAGAATTGACAATTTTTAAACGGAAAATATAATCAAAAGGTTGTGCCTATTATACAGTAGATGTACCTGGATTGGGGAGACAGCAGCAGCCGGGGCAGAGCGCACAGGAATCCCACTAAGTGGGCTCCTTGTTGAGGGATGCATTTGGACTGTGTGACTTGGTCCATCTGAGAGACAAAAAGAAGTACACAACATTTTTTTGGGCTTAAACTTTGTCTATGTCTGACCAAGGATTCTATTCCTCTAGTAAAATAAAGCTTTTTTTTTTTTTGCAATGCTGGTTGTTAAAGAATATTTTTATTTATAATAATATCGAATATGAAGGTGACATACGAGGACGCTCTAAAGAAAGGACTTTGATTATTTTTTTGAAATACTGAAGATTTACAGACAATCCTCCATGGTGATGATCCACATGTAGTAGTGTTTGTAAGCTTCAGTGTACAGTGATTTTTGAGTTTGGTATGAAGTGCTTGATAAATATTATATCAATATTATTATTACTGATACTTTATTCTGAAAATCTTGTGACTTCCTGTCACTGTTTTTGCACAAATGTATTAGTTTTCTTTTCTTTTTTTTGGGTAAGCTGCTGCTAGGACTGTCAGAAATCAGTGTTGATAATTGTTTAATACTTTTACTACAGTATATTTTACACATTTGAAGTATGAGTTTTTGTCCGTATTGCTCCGTATATTGCTACTAATCCAGCTGAAATAAAAGAAAAAAAGATATACATTTCAAAAATAATTAAACAGTTGTCAACTTATACAATTGAATTCTCCTCCAACATATAGCAGGAGAGATTGTGGCAAGCAGATTCTAAGTAGTGTGCACGTGCATTGTCCTTACTCTGTCCAACTGTATCGAAAGACCTAATGAGAGATTTGACAGTTGCTCCAGGCTCTGAGTTGGCGTCTCCAGTGACGTCAGTGGACGCGGCCGGTATTACAGTCCAACGACGGCTGGAGTCAGAATCAGACACTCTCACCTCATCGCTTTTGGACCTAACGGACAAAATAAACATTGTGGCTGTGCCATGTATACAAGGAGAGAAGGAAGTGGACTATTTCAAACAGAGCGTCTTGAACACTACTTCCTGAACAAAACACACTTGTAATAAATGGCTCAAAGTCTGATCTACAGAAGTGAAATGTAGCTGACACAGACCCTTACAATTCATTGGTATCTAATGACAACATATTGAGTAGAATTACCCCCACCCCCTAATAATGTAGACAGACAACAAACCAAAGCAGGACTGGTGTAATTTGGTTTATTCAATGATGAGATAAACAAGTCAAATATACAACACACCTGCATTTGTAGCTATTTGTGGAGGCACTAACACTGGGGTCATGTCTTATTCTGAATAAATAACCGAAATAACTTCATATGCAGGTGCGCTCAATAATCCGGAAATTACGGTAACGGCTTCTTACCTTACTCTCTTTATTCTTGACAATAACACTGAACAAATGGAATATCTGGGCTGAAGACTAACCTGAGACTCTGCAGTAATATGATGCACTGCAACAATGTTCTGTATATTGTATTTTTTCCTGAAAGATAAGGTCATGAAACCGCTTGGTCATTGATACAAGTGTGAAAAAAAAACAAAAAAAACTGGTGTAATAAGATGTATGCTGAAAAAGTGATTAAATGTATTTCAGAACACCTTTGACTACACGTAATATCACAACCTTGAGTGACCTCTGGTGTTCAGTTGAGTTAAAATCGGAGGAACATACAGGTCATAGCACAGTTCCCCTGGTCCTTCATTTTGATGGATATTTATACTTTAGAAAAAATT